CCTGACATTAAGTAACACATTTCAGAGGCACTCCCTCATTGGAGATGTGATGTGAGTTTTTACATGCCAAACATAAGCAATGTTGGCTAGTTCCTGGCAAGACAACTGTCCAGAGCAGGAAGGGCAGGAGTAATGGACTGCTTTAGAAAACTCTTTGCATTTCTTTCCTCAGAGATAATTTTGATTCCCAACCTACTTTATCTGGTACAAGATGAGGTGAAATGAGACTGGCAGTGACAGTGGAATTCAGTGGCAAGGCTGCAGTGGAGGCAGCTGTAAGAAGGCACTGGACCAGGCAAGGTGAGTGACTGGGCAGCAGCTGCTGGCTTCTTCTCCCTCCCTCCAGCTGGCAGCGCCCAGGGGCAGCAGTCAGCTGCAGAGCACTGCAGAGAGCCAGAGAACTACCAGCCTTCACACCCACCAGCTCCTCAGCCACAGACAGAGGGAGAAGGCTGTTTTTGGTTAGGCTTCCAGTCTGAACTCAGGGCATTTCATACTTGGATTTTTTTACTTTCCTCTACCTAGAGCACTTGGTCTTTGATTGTGGTCCAAATGCACCTGTAATAAGAGATAGCTTTCTGGCAAATACAAGATCTCTGAAAAATTTCAGAGCAAACTGTCAGATTAAAAGCATAGCTAGCTATAAACTACACAATGAAGAATGAAGACGTGCAGAAACAAGGCTGTAAAAAACATGTATATTTACTCAGAGTGCAGGTTCAGCAGACCTTAAATGCTTTGAATAGGATTCTTTTAGTCCTGTTGAAATATTGTTCTTATACTTTCTTTTGCTGTCTTAGACACAAGTGAAATTCTGGAAATGTTCTTGCTTCACAAGAGGGCAACTGTTAAGAGAAGGACAACTGCTGATAGGAATAGTTCAAATTTACAAAACATTACATGTTACCAAAGTGCACTAGTCTGTCATTTTTATTTGAAGATTTTTTCCTCAGCTTGCTAAAAAATGTTTAGCAAGAAACAAACAAACAGTGGAAGAATTCTAGATGCAGAACCACATGGAAATAGGACAGGTAGTATCATATGCTACAGTAACAAGGCAGAGTCAGGATGAAGTCCTCTTGGGCAGTCCAAAAGCAGATGTAACCAACAGTCTCAATGCTTTGTTCAGATGGATGCTTTAAGAGAAGGTTTCAGCATAATGATCTGGAATAATTCAGAAGAGCATCTGGAGAAGGACTACAAAGGAGTTTTCAGAACATTATAAGCAAGTCTAGGGGACCCCTGGTGGTCTAGTGGTTAGGATGCAGCACTCTCACCGCTGCAGCCAGGATTCGATTCCCGGTCAGGGAAACTCCCCTAGGCAGATGGAGCTCGTCAGCCCTGTAAGGCCATCCATCCAAGAGAAGGTCACTCTAAACAAACCTACATCCTGAGGACCTCTCTGCCACTGTCCAAGCTTGCTCAGCCCCAGCAGACGAACCTTAGGATTAAAGGGTGGGCTCAGTTCAGCGCACACTGTGTCTCACCTAAAAAATCCACTGCACAGGCTCAAAGGGTAAAGACCTTTCCCAAATCTTCGTTTGCGAAGACTGGCCATACATACATAAGCAAGTCTTCAAATTGCTAGAAGAAATCCGAAAGTGCTTTGAGAAATGGATTGCTTTCTTCATTTGCAAGTCCGCTGCAATGATTAAATTTATAGAAAAGTTAAGAAAGAAAAAAAGAAGAAAAGAAAAGCACCTTTTCTTTTTGTGGGGGGGAAGAGGAGGAAAACATGGGGAAGGAAGGGAAGGAAGAAAAGTTATTTATGTACTCTGAGGCAAGTCCAGGGAAATGAAGCCCAAGGACAAGATAAAGTGGGACTCAGAAAAAAGGCTGACTTTCATTCTGTAGTCTCAAGAGGAAAAGCTCTGATGCTAGATGTAAGACTTGTACCATACTTAAAAAAGAATTGGACAGATTTGAGCATCAGAAACTTCAGACAACAACCTTAAACTTGTTCTTCAGGCAAAGGAAATCGGTAGGTAGTTAGAAACATTAAACATCTGCAGTAACTACTTTATAGCCAGCAAACCAAGAACTTCTCTCATACAAACCTTTATAAGTCATGAAGTTAGATTTATCACTGATCTCCCTGTAACAGTTCCTGAATACAGTATATATGAGGTGGAGTTATGATATTTTGAATATTCTTATACAGAAATGCCCATGTTAATGTTCTGGAAGCCTATCACCTGCAAGCCTGTAGGAGCTAGTGTACCTGCATTTCTTCTCATTGGAGTGTAAAAGAACAACAAACCCAATATGCAAATACTCCTCCTTTCTTACTTTTCTGATATTCCTTTGAAGTCACTCTGTGCAATTCATAACACTGCTTGATGGCATTCACACTGCCAATGGCCTTGCTCCAGAATTCAGGGTTTTCCTCAGGAATAGCAGTCCCCTGGCATGAGCCACAGATGTTTGAGAGCATATATTTTTGCCATGCCATCTGCTGAGAAAAGGCAGCATCTCAGCTGTCAACCCTACTCTCATGTGAAGGCAAGGGTCATCATGAGGGTTTACCATTCCCTCCAGGCATATCTGCATTTTTTCTTCCTCTTTAAAGCAAGTTCAGAAAACATAATTATGCATATTTTAATTGCAAGATGATGGTGTCAACCAGCAGGTTTTGTTTTGGGCTTGATCTCACTATGCCTCAGAGGTATGAGATTTCATTTCTGTTCTTAACAGTATCACAAACTTAGCTTAGTGTTTAAGAAACACCTTTTAGATGTTTCAATTTTCACAGTCCTACCTTCAGATATTGGAAATATATTTAAGCACATGGAGACTCACTGGTTGGGCTAAAGTTCAGGAGGAAATACAAGAATGTAGAATCACTAAAAGTAAAAAATCAAGTGCTGGGGCACACCAGCCTGAGGTGTACAAATGTCACATCTCAGCAGTATAATGGGTTAACAAGTGGTTTGTTGTTGCTGGCAAATCTGACTCCTTCAACAAAGTGACCATTTGCAATAGTACCCTCAGTCCTGACTGAGGTCTGAAGCCACAGTCATGAGTGGGGGGACATCAGTGTGGTGCTGGGGACTGAGCACAGGAAAAAGGACCTGCTGTTTTTCCTGCTCACCTCCTTCCCCACCACTGAAATACAACTGAAAATCAACTGGCCTTTTGAACTTTCAAACCAACTGAAGTCAGTACTTTGTAAAGTCAGTACCTCGCATCATGAGTACTGAAGCTCTAGTTATACCTTTTCCCGGCTAAGCAGAAGTCTAAGGCAATTCACCTGTCTCAAATGTTAATCAGAAATGAAAGTAGCAAGTGGGTGAGCAGAGATGGGCATTATTTAACCTGCTCCTGTCTGCTCTTCAGCTTTAGATTCCCTTTCTTGATGTTACCCTGGGGCCTTAGAAGAGACTCCCACTCAGGTATCCAGCCAGACAAGTATTAAGAAAACTTTTTGCTTCGGTCAAAGTTGCAGCAGTACCAGATATTCTGACGGGGTCCCTCCCTCCTGACATGAGGCCTGCTATGATAGGTATTACTGCATCAAATAATAGGTATTACTGCATCAAGGAAGCTTGTATCAAAGCTGCAGTTCCTTCCCTGCTTAAAGAAAAATCCCCATCTTTAATAGCTTTGGTAAGAACATGTATTTTTTCTTACTATGAATATTACCACTAGTAACCCCACATAGAGGCTTCATTTCTTTTAAGGAAGTTTTCAACAGAAGTCATTCTTAACAGGCTGATAGTCTGCTATGGCATCTGGTGTAGAACTGAGCATGGATGCATTTTCATCTCTGTCTTTGATTCAAAGAGTAGCAGAACTATGGAGACAAGTGTGTAAGGCCAATACGCTGCTTCTCATTGGTAGCCACCAGTTCAATACCCACAGCAATCAAAGGACTTGTACATTGTTGCCCTTCTGGAACAAGAAGGAACTGAAGAAAGAACTCTTCTTTTAAACAGTGTTGCTAATAGTGATAATTGTTAATTTATGTTTTCACACTGCAGAGTCAGCTGTATTTTTACTTTGATAATTCCATACTTAGATAAAGTACTAGGGAAGCTTTGGCACAGTCCTCAGTTAAAAGCTGTCCTAAGTGATAGACCTTCACTACAGGAACAAACATCTTTCTCACATACTGTAGTGGAAGCAGCGTCATTCCTCCTGCAAGCCCAAAAGAGCCAGAAGGAGGTTACTATTGTGCTTATTTTTGTAAAAAGGAGTTTATCTCAAGTAGATCTCTGCCATGATCTGACTCACAGAATAAGAGTTAACCCATAATCACCACCTTCTCATCCACTGCAAAGCCACTCTTTCCCCTGCAAAGCTACTCCTTTGCTGTTCCACTTCACAGAATCACAGAATTCTGTGATCTGTGATCACTTCTACATTTCCTACATCAGAAACTATCTTCAAAGGTCACAGCACCTCGAAACCACATTGCAGACAGTGTATCGTTGTTTGTAGATTTGAGCTGCATCAGTTCGTATCTGGATTAAGAGACAAATTTCCTTTACAGCATTTCCTCACTGTGCTGGACCCTCACCAGCTTCCTTTTCTTGGTTTACCTCTTACCTGCTGTGGTTTCTCCAAAATTTCTGCTTAATTTGAAGGAAGTTTCTACTCTTTTGAGGATGCCCTTTCTTTTGGTGGTATTAGATCTCATCAGTGCCAATGACCACAGGGCTGTTTAGCCAGATTGCCCAGCTCTTGCTGGCAAGAGACTTCTGCAAGTGACATGAATCACAGGTTTGCTTAAACTTCCAGGCCTAGAAGTCATACTACTTTCTTCATGACCATTAAAAACTTCAGTCTTTATCAGCAGGGCTGATCTGGGGCCTTTGCCCCAGAGAGCAGGCGTGATTTGTATTAGATGACATCATTGCCACGAGTTTATCTCTTGTCATTGAAAGTCTTTCCTGAGGGAAGGGAGACTGCTGGTAAGATACTTTCCAAACGAGACTCATAAGCATGCTCCCAGATAGCTGCTTGCTTTGAAGTAAACAAACAAGTCAAGCCATAAACTGGCTTTCTTCTTGCATTTTTTGGTTATCACATTTGCAAGATATCTACAATTAACTCAGATTCACCTTAAATATAGACTGCATTCACCTTAAATATAGTCTGCATACAGAGGGTGCACTTGTCTGCTCCAAACTGATTTGCATGGAAAGGTGCTTCGACCTTCCCAAAAAAGTCTTCTAGCAGCGCAAGCATTGCAGAGAGCAGTTAACACCAAAGGAAGGCAATTCCCCCTACCAGGCTATAGTTTTGAACATAAGAGCCCTATTTCCCCTCCAAAGAAATGAATGCTAATTGTAGTAAGCCACACACACAACAGCTCCCAAAAGGCAGGAAAAGTACGAACAGGAACTGAGTTCTTCCAGATCACATCCTTTCCATCCAGGGCATTGCAGCAATCCTCACCTGGTACTTTCAGTTCTCATTATTTAATTGCTGGATTTGAGTTTTCATGTTCCTACAAACTGCTCACACACAGTGTAGTGTTTCCCAAGCCAACAGTGCCAAGTAAAAATACTCAAGATAATGACACAAACTTGAAAGCCCCTCAGAGTTTCCTTTTAAAGAGGACCTGAGCATGTGATACTGTGAGAAAAGCAACCAGAAAAGGCATCAGTATCTTCAATAATTAGAACATTGTTTTATTTATTTTGAGATTAGCCCAAAGTCGATGAATATGCAAAAAAAAAAAAACAACAACAAAAAAAACCCCAAAAACAAATAGGCCAAATCTAAGATTAGCTATTCTAGGAAAAAAAAAATAAAAAAGGTAAAAAAGAATAAGTTTTGCCATAGACTGCCATCTTAAAGGCACAAAAGGATAACTAATTATGTACAAACATACTCAGTTCTCACAGCAATCCAGGCTGGGTGGACACTGACTAGGGAGAAGCCCTGCAGAAAAGGTTCTCAGGGTCCTGATGGTCAGTGAGCTGAGCCCTGCCAGCAGAAGGGCCAAAAACATCCTAGGCTGTATGAACAGAAGTACAACCAGTAGGTTGATGGACATGATTATTCCCGTCATCTCAGTACTCAATAGATTGTATCCAGAGTACTGCATCGATTTTGGTGTGAGTTCAGCAGAGGGTCTGCAGGATGCTCAGGGCTCTGGAGCACTTGTCCTGTGAAAAGAAACTGTGACACTGAGGTGGTTCATCCTGGTTAAACTTTGGGAGTGCTTACAACAGCTCTCAACACCTGTGGGAAAGAGACCAAGGAGCTGAGTGAGGCTTTTCACAGCAATGAATGGTGGGAGGATGAGAAACTATGAACAAAAGCTGAAAGCAGAGGGGTTCAGAGAGAAGATAAGGAGATCCTCTCCCCCTGAGGACAGATGGTCAGGGGTGCAGGTTTCCCAGTGAAGTTGTACTGTCTCCATCCTTGGAGTTTTCCAAGCTTCAAAAGGGTACAGCCCTGAGCAGCCTGGTGTGAGCTCAGAGGTGACTGTACCTGAGCGGGAGGGTGCACTGGAGTCCTCCTGACCTTCCTTCCCCTCCAAATATGCCTATGATCTTGCAACCCTTTATAAATAATTTTTATATAACATTATTACTTACAAAGACACCAAGTACACAAATATGTGGACTGCAATATTTGATGCCTAGCAACCAGCAGAGCAATTCCTGGAAATCCACATAAAGAGAATTGCAGGGGCTGGACTCTGCACTTATTAGATGCTTTTTGCCATTGGAATAGCACATCACAGCCAAAGGAAAGTCTAAGAAATTGTTTGACTGCTTTCTGATACAGATGCAACAGAGCTTTGGGGATTAGTCAAGATGAACCTCGTTATGTCAGGCCTGTACACACTTTGCCTCAAACAGATTTTTACCTGATCAGCACAAACAGAAAACAAATGAAGTGTCCTGGGACTTTTGTAGGTCAATACTGGAGTCTATCTTTATGCCATAACTACTCATAATGCTAGTCATTGGGACATAGGTCTTCAGAAAGCACGGGAGCAAAAGGGAGAGAAATCCTCTGTCTTGTTACTTTTCTTCTCACAGAGCCCCATATCCTCTCTTCATCACATAAACACAGACTAAAGACCTATTGTTCAATTGATTCAGGTGGTGAAATGACAAGGATATCCCAATCAAGGAAGAAATTTTATTGCCTTACCTTCTACAGCCACAAGCACTCTCTGCTCCAAATCCACTTCTTCCTGTAATTCTGTGCTTCTCTGGAGAAAATTTCCGACTGCAGGTGCACAGAAAGCAAACTAAATTACCCCAACAAGCCTTTTGCATCTTACAGTCTAGGAATTGAGCTGTGTCCATTTGATATAGTAGACTGAAATGAAAGAAAAGAGTGTGGGAGAGAACATAACCCTCTGCGGGCTGTGCCTACCTTTTTATTCTGAAAGCCTGTTTAATTATTTGCCCTTACGGTGAAGTGTTCTTAAATGACAAAAATAATTAAATAAAAACAGACAGTGATCTTTGTGCTAGTAAGGGCATATGAATAATAACACTATGACCTACTGGCAAAGGAGGGGTAGGGGAGGAAGAAAAACACTGGGTACTGGGACTCCCTCTTCATTGGTCATCCCAGAACATCATGTGGCCACGGCTCCTTTTTAAACATAAGTCCTCATCTCCTGGAGCTCATAATATCCTCCCGTCCTGCATTTCTGTTTGAACCTGTGGAAGACATCTTTCCAGCCCGACAAGATGTGCGACCAGTTTGTGGGCACCTGGAAGCTCCTTTCCAGTGAAAACTTTGAGGACTATATGAAAGAACTGGGTGAGAATTGTTATTTTGAATTGTATCTGGGACAGGGAAATAATATCAATTTTGAACTTTATTTGTTTTTTCTGGCTATGTTGTTTGTCAAGGGAGCTTTAGTCCGACTATTTTGATCAGATGGTCTTTAACTGGAAAACTCAGCTGTTGAATTAGCGGTACTAAATTACTATAAAGTAGAAAAACCTTGATTGAGAGGAATAATTTCAGGTAAACCAAGTCTATGCATGCATGAATTAGCTTTTGTCCTTGGACATGCAAATTGGTGTGATGCTGGAAAGCAGCAAGCTTCTCTATGTCTAAAAGCAACACACCCAAACAACTTTACATTGTTACTGGACTGAGGCAGCAATTAATTGCCATGGCTATTATACTGAATGAAACTCTGCAGCTGCCTCCAGTGAATATTAACAAAGAAAATTGCATGGATTCATGCAGATACTTGCAAAGATTTGATGTCTAACACTTTCTTTAAAGGTGTAAGCTTCTTGCTTAAATTTAAAATTGGGCTTTAAAAGTCTTCGACATTCTGTTAGTATGGAAGAAGCATGGGGTAACCTGCACTGATTCAATTAGTACATGGTAAAAAGCTGGGAGTTTTTTGCAGATTAGGGGTAAAATACTCACTGTGACTTATGCAGCACCCAAAAGCTTTCAGAGAGTGAGACTCTTGCACTCTTAATTTTTACTCCAGATTTTGCTCAGGACGTAACCATTGCCAGCTATTTCTTAATCATTTCCTTATATTCAGCCTAGCCGCTGATAAATCTAAACAGTTCTTGCGTTTTTTCCCCCTTGTTTGTTTGTTTCATTGCTTTCGAGGCTTGGAAACTGTGGTATATTTCTGCTTATCTATGTTTAGCTACATTTAGCATACAAGTTAAAATACAAGCTATCTCAGTTGTTCTGAACAAGTCCATGTGCAAAAATCCAACATTTAAATCTTGTCTCGGTGTTCACACTATTTTCACAATGACAGAGTAGAGAATTTCCTTACATCAACCCACCCAACTTGGTCTATAGTAGTTCCAAGCTATTGAGATGTTACAAAGGAACATCTGCAACATAGAATTATTAAAATTCAGAAAGCAATAAGGGGAAACAGCACTGAAGGTTTTTGATTTTTTTTTTTTTTTTTGCAACACATAAGATAAAAACATTGAGCAGAGATAAAAATTTCTGTCTTATTTATAGGTGTGGGGTTTGCTACCAGGAAGATGGCTGGTGTGGCCAAGCCCAATGTAACTATCAGCATCAGTGGTGATATGATAACCATCAAAACAGAAAGTACTTTCAAAAATACAGAGGTCTCTTTCAAGTTGGGTGAAGAGTTTGATGAGACCACAGCAGATGACAGAAAAACAAAGGTGAGTTCAAAAATGCCACTTTGCAAATACATCTCTGAAATGGGATGTGGGTGCAGGAGGGCAGAGCTGTGATTTTGACATCCAGTGTAGAAATACTGCCTTCATAGGTAAGACTGTTATGAATGCTTGTGCTCAGTGCCATTTGGACATGGAGATAGTCTTCTCTTCAGCCCAGAGCAGCCTGATGAAACAGCCACACTTTGTTTTTTTTCCTTTGGCAGAATGTCATAACCCTAGACAACGGCGTACTGAAGCAGGTGCAGAAGTGGGATGGAAAAGAGACCATCATAAAGAGAAAAGTGGTGGATGGAAACCTGGTGGTGGTGCGTTCATTTTTTTTACTTAATCACTGAATTCAGCATGCAGAATTCATGTTTGGCTGATGCATGACTTTGGATTCAAAAGGAAAGGGAAAAGAATCATAAAGGGCTCTGTGCACTTGGTGAGAAGCCTCTCTGAATGAGTCTGGAGTGTGGGTTAGAACTGAAATGCTGTTAAACTTATGGAATGGTATGGAGGTGCCTGTCTCCATTCATAGCAAGACATAGTTAGGAAAGTGTAGGGAGAAAAAAAACAACATCCCTGTGAGGGAAATTTTTATTTTCATATATCAGAATCTCTAAGTCCTGGACAGTATAAAGGAAGCATTAGCAACATCCATGTTAAGTGCATCCGTTGTAAGAACTCTCCAGTTCATCTTCAGCAGAGGCTGAACAGCTATCTGTGGGAACCCTCTCATGCATCATCAACAACTGTGTCAATAATATGATGTTTGAGCTAAAAAGGAAACCTGTGTCCAAGCTCTGTTCATTGGTTTTATCTGGTCAGAGACTGTTGTGCTTGACTTGGTGCCAATAAGGCCCACCTACAGTCCAGGGCTTCCCAGCACAGCTCTCCAGTTTTAGGAAATACACTTTGAAGAATCTGGGAGAGGACTAAAACTGTGTTCATTTTTGGCAGCTGAGATTCCTACATGCTGCAAAATGATACACATACATGAAATTCCCAAAGAGTTCTGCCCTCCCCTAGGGAAAAATAATATGTTCATAAATTTAATATTTAAATTTCTTTGGATAGAGACCAGAGGAGAAGAAACAGAAATAGTTTTTAATAACAACTTTATTAAGAAAGACTGAATAAAACAGAGTTTGATCTAACAGAAAAACAGATGAAGACAGAGCCTAACATGCAGAGGCTGACACCAACAGCTGCAAGTCTGAAAGCTCTGTGTGTGTGCATGCGTTACGCACACGTGTGAAGAAGACAAGCCACAGCTGCAAAAGATGAAAGGAAAAAAGGCTAATTCCCAGCTCCAGAGTCCAGTCACCCTCCATAGAAACACTAGGAGCCTTCTTTAGAGATTTTTAAAAGACTAGAACTCTCCTGGAGGTCGCCGAAGTAGTCCTTTAATGTTCTTTCAGTCCTGTACTTGTATTTAGACTTCTGTTTCTGAAGATCTCAAAATTGAGTTTCACTGTTTTGACAATTGATATTAGAGGAGGAGAAATGCACATTTTTCTTACACTGATTCCCAATGACAAGTGCTTCTCTACCTTCTGACTAACAAACATTTAGTGAGAATTAAAAGCTGATTGAATTTACCTTTCTTTCCAGGAATGCACCATGAATAATGTTTCCTGCAAAAGAGTTTATGAAAAAGCGTGAAGAAGTCACCTTCACACAGGATTAATGCTTGAAGCTGGAGAAAAACAACTTAACCAAAGGAGAAAAACTCCACAAATCTGTTTTAAAGAGAACTGTACTTTTTTCAGATATATCCCAAAGCAGTTACATGCAGCTGGTCTAATTTGTTGTGCCTATTCAATAAAATATTCTGCTTTCTACAACCTGTGCTTGTGCTGGTGTTTGTCAGAAAGGGGCTTTGGGGGGGATGTATTATGGGGAAGGGTACTGTACAGGAAAGCATTGTGTGAAAGGCAGTACCACACAGTAAATGTGACCCATCTCACCACAGAAAGAAGATTAGAGTCAATCTAGTGAGTGGCACTTGTGTGACAGTGACAGATGTAGACCTGGACAGAGAAACATCGTCTGGTGAGTGCTGCATGTAGGCTATCCACTGCAAGGAGTCTGTGCACAGCCAGGGGAATAAAGGGGCTGCTCTTGGTTTCAAGCAAAAGTTGTTGTTCCTGGGGCAGGGAGAAGGACGACCTATGGATGCTTGTGGATGCTGTGGATGACCAGTGTTGGCTTCCTCTGTGTAGAAATGCAGAAAATTTTAAAGATAGGGACAATCTGAAGTGGCTTGATCTTGTCTTTTCCTCCCTCAAGAGTGAAATTATAGCTGCTGTAGATTTCATCTGTGATTATTTTTTTAATGTGCTTTTCTTTAACATCTCAGTTTGTCCTATATTAGACAAAAAGCCTTGAATTAAGAATCATAGCTTAAAAAGTACTCCCAGGTTTACTAGAAGCCTGTACAAGTTTGCTAGTGCTACAACCTCCTTCATTACCTACATACATTTTCTACTAGCTCATTAGGTTTGATCAGTCTTGGGAACATGAGCCTCTTTAGATGTAAAGCCCTTTGGACACCATGTTTTCAACTCTGCTTATTTTCAAACTACCTTGTTCTAATGCTCATAGGCCTGGTCTCCTATTTCAAAACTTTGCATCCACAGAAGCAATGATTTCTACACCTGGGAGGACTCAAACTGAGAACAACAAAAAAAAGAGAGTTCTAGGGAAAACCTGGAAAATAAATCTCAAAATATGTGCATTAACCACTAAATAGGGAAATGACCGTATCTCAAGCTTTGCGATTAGGATCTGTGAACTAAATTCCTCATATTCCTGACATTCCTGAGGTCAGCTCTTAGAGGCAACCATGCAGCAGAGACTTCACATACACTTGAACTTTCCTCTGCATGACTCAAACTGTTCCCAAGTTTTTGCACTGCTTATACAACTAAAGAGGGAAAAGGGACTTCTATACTCTGCATGAGCTGAGGAGTAGTTTAAGAGCAGTTCCAAAAAGCTATCAGTAAATCCTGAAGGAAATGTTGAAAGAGCCATGAACAAACAGCTCCTCTGTTTTAACTTTGGTTTCATTGCTTGTGAAGCCTCATCAACCTAAAGAACAGCAGTTACAGATTAGTGGTAGAAAATCTGCATGGGAGAGATGATTATAAGAAGCAGAAACATTGACTTAAATAGGTTACATATAGACATTAAAAAACAGCCCGTAACTAAATAAATCCCATTGCCCACAGATCTGGAAATACTGTATTTCAGAGGTCAAATTACCAGTATTCATGTAGCAGCCTTTATTTTCTAGAAATCTTACATTCTCAATACAGCCAACAGTCACAAGTGGAACATTCACAGCTTAATATTTCAGAGGCAGGTAATCTCTTCTGAAAGCATCACCATTTATTTTTGTACCTGGTAAGTGAATTCAAACTTTGTGAATGAATCAAGCCACTTAAAACTTCAATTCTTGGAAATTTCAATAAAGTGGCATTCTGTTTATAAATTTTAGCAGGGACAGAGGAGGAGATCTTTGCCCCTAAGCATATTCAATCACTGCTACAGGTTACTGAGACGACAAGAGAGAAAGGGAACTCACACCCACAGTTTTTTAGCAGCTCATGAGAAAGAGCAAGCAAGGTTTATTCTGAGCACTGACCTTTCTGTCACTTTTATGTTTTTTCTTTTAACTCTTTGTTTCCACTGGAAAGAACTCGAAGGACTTTTGCATCCTGGCCAGTGAAGCACCATATCCACAGTGCAGTCTGGACTCATTCCCTTGGCCCCAGATGTCCTGGTCTTGTAGGATGCTCCAGCTAAGGAAACAAGAAACTATTTGCACTCTCCAATGCAGCTTTTGGGAAGAGGCAGGCACCATGTTCGGACTTGATCCTTCAGCTCCATAGAGTCAGTGTTAAAACATCCTTGGTGCCCTCACAGCAAGTCCTTCTTTGACCTCTGTTCTCCCCTTTTATTTTGGTTTTCTTCATTGCTGTCCTGGGAATTTAATTTAGACTATTTTTGGCACTGACTTTGCCCAGATCATATTTCCTTTAAAGAAATTGAGATAAATTTACTTTCTATATTTCTTTAAATAGTACCTTTATTTCTAAATAATCTCTGAATTTTTAGTTCACTATTTTTATCAAGCTTTACCTTCATCTCTAGTGCTGCTTCACAATCTCCAAGTTCAATTATTTCAAATCCTGTTTTACTCCAACTGTAAGCAAAAAATGGAATCAAAGTTCCACCTTATCACATGTACTTACAATTTTTGACACTTTTTTCCCTTTAAACTTGAAGAAAAGGTTGGTTTCCACAACTGTTTCTACTGAGTTAGAATTCCCTGCTCTTGTTCTTTCCAAACTGCAAGTCCTTTAAATGAAAGCACTGATTTTTCTTAGTGACAGAGATAGATGGTAGCAATGTCGACATTGTTTGAGACTGCTTAAGACTGGGGTTTTGTCTGCATAAATAATTCTCTGTCACTTTTGTTCTTAAGATTACTGGTACTGCAGTGTAGCTGTTCTATTCTGACTAATTTGGTCTTATTGAATTTCTTGGGGCCTGATTTTACAACACCCCAATCATCTTTTATTTCCCAAAGGCA